TTGAAATCGTGAAATCTGAGTTATCTCATGTAACTTTCAAAGAAGGAAGGCCATCTATGGAAGAAATGGTTCTTCAAGAAATAGAAGAATCAAATGGATCGGTGGCATTCGTTACTTGTGGACATCCAGTAATGGTTGATGATTTGCGTCATTCTGTAGTAAGCAACTTGGATAATACGAAGGGAAAACGTGTTGAATTCTTTGAGCAGTTGCAAGTTTGGGCTTAATTTTTCATTTTCCTTCTTTATAAATAGTCTCTAATCTCGTCCTTGTCGGCTTCTTCAAGCTTCTTAATACTGGAAAAGTAATTTCTTTATATTTATATATATTAATATTGTATATTTAAACAAGATGTAATTCGAGATATCATACATTTTTGCAGTTAGCTGCATGTAATATCGATCCGTAAAATAACCGGTCTCTCCGATATGAAAACTACAGTTTTTTTAGAATATATTTGATACATTTTCATTGTATATTTGAAATATAAGCCCTCTCAATGCAGCTTTTCCAAAATGCTAAACAAAATTTACAAATATATGCACTTGACAGTAGTTCAAACGCATAAATCAATTAATTAGTCTTGGCCCACATTCATTATCTGTTAACTTATTTTGACGGCCTGTAGATGTCTTGGCAATAGCATGCTTCAAGTCTACTATTTGATAATATTTACTGTTTCTTATAGAGCATAATCTGATAACCGGGGATATGCAATATTAAAGCTACTACTGCATATGTAACAATCACTTTTTGCATAACATTTTATTATATAGAAACTGTAGTACGAATTGCGACCTTAAATACTGCTAAAATTCTAAGCTAATTGGTCAAACCATTGAAATGGTGTATGGAATAGGAGATATATAACATTGCAACTAGCATAACAAGCTGTGCAACGTCTCATTTAGCTTTTTAAAGTTTAGAATATGTTGAACTGATGAAAATTTTCAACCTAGGAAATTACTATTTAAGTAGAATATTCTCCTTATATTTTTCTGTTATTGAAACTCATTAAGTGATCTGGTTACTTAATCTTGGAAAATTGAATAATCTTGGTAATGAAGCTGTTCTCAGTATATTTCACTTCATTGCTTTTGATAATGAGTATAAAGAATGTCAGTGCGCACGGTAGAGGAGCAAGTAGTATTGATAGTGGAGCAAGTAGCGTACTTTATAGTAGCTCAGAAACCAGTAGCTCACATAATGGCAGCTCAGAAGGTAGCAGCTCAGAAGGTAGTAAATCAGGAGGCAATAGCTCACATGGAAATAATAATTCAAAGCACGGAGGACATGGTAAGCAAAAGGGCAAACCATACTCAGCTTCAAACTTATCACAAATAGCCTATACTGCCTGTTCTCAGTTGGTTTCTGCTACTGCAACATTTTGCGATTCAAATTCGGACTATGCTGATGCATGTTTCTGTGTTGATCCAAATGCTTTAGCTACAATTGCCGGTTGTTATCATATAGCTAACAAGGCATCTAAAGAGAACGTAAAAACATTAAGTTCAAACTGTGAAGAATATAAAGCTAAGATTAGTTTTGACCAATTCGAAGCAGCATATAAAAATTATACTTTGTACGCTAAAGAAATAAGCGAAATTCAAAATTTTGATGCTTCTGTTCCCGTGGATGTTCCAATTAAGCTAAATGCGACATCAGTTAATTTGTACCAGGAATCGTAC